AAACCAGGTCACTGTGACCTTTATTTGACCTTAACCTTGACCTTGACCTTGATCATATTTCCCTTCTGCTCTATAACTCGGCCCCTAATTGACCTAGCGCGACCAAACTTGGTATACTTACACATCTTGGGGAAAATATTAATTAATGTGTGTCGCGTACCAAAACCACGTCACTGCGGCTTTTATTTGACCTTGACCCTGACCTTGATCATATTTCCCTTCCGCTTTATAACTCGGCCCCTAATTGACCTAGCGCGACCAAACTTGGTATACTTACACATTTTGGGGAGAAGGTGTGTCGCGTACCGAAACCAGGTCACTGCAACCTTTATTTGACCTTGACCTTGACCTTCATCATATTTCCCTTCCGCTCTATAACTTGGCCCCTAATTGACCTAGCGCGAGCAAACTTCGTATACATACACATCTTGGGGAGAAGGTGCGTCGCGTACCAAAACCCCTAAGGCAACCAATTTATTTGCACATCTCAGGCAGATGAGTTGTGTAACAAACCTTTGTCTTTATGACTTATTTAACTTTACCTATCTTCTACGTCCTTACAGAGATATTTCATTCATACTAGATCACGGGGGATACATGTAGTTGGCGACAACTGCCCTTTCTAGTTATATATATTTCTATGGCTAAAACACTCCAAGAGTTTATATGAAGGAGCAATATATTAATGAATTACAATTTCTGTCAGTATTTAATAATGAGAGTGACATTGCTTCATACATGTAGGAGGGTAACCAGAAACAAAATGCTTCCAATGGTATTGCACAAGGGAGTAACCTTGTTGGTAAAGTCAGTACATATTTTGGGATTGATGAGAATTCAGAAAGAATGAGTCAGTGGAAACACCGGTTCCTTATGGAAACAGAGGTGAGTTAATACACCCACACATACGACACATGTAGGTTGGGATGACCATTGACCATAGTTGCATTATGACTACATGGAGAATTAATTTACACCAGAATTATCTTAGCATTTTGTTAGATTATCAATTCTTTGTTTCCTAGTTTATAATGGAAACGTATGAATTTATGCTTAATTGCATGTAGCCAATTATTGTTAGTGTGCATAGATTAGTAGAATAGAATAAAAAGATACCTGAAAATTTATTGGTAATAAAAGTTTTAAAGAATTTTTAAAATATTTTGAAGATTGTAAACTTAATCCAACGGTATAGATGTTACAACCCCTCAATTTTATGAGGTTGTCTGGTATTTTGTAAAGAAACCCATTCTGCACTGCATATGTGCTTGTTGCCTCACAACAATGATGTAGTCCGTCCATGATATTCGTCCACTAATGCATAGAGGATCTATGTCCCCCAGGGTACTGCTAGAACGTACCCTGGGTACGGTCCGGTATACCGGAACGTACCCTGGTACCAGAGCATATAAATCAACGTGGTTTATATGCTCTGCTGGTACTATCTAATATGCCGGACCGTACCTCGCCTACTCCACTAACGAATCTAGGGAGTCGCCTACGCCTACTCCCTAACCCTAACCCTAACCTTATCAGATAGTTACCAGGGTATGTTCCGGTATACCGGACTGTACCCAGGGTACGTTCCGGCAGTACCCTGGGGGACAGAGACCCTGTGAGCTCCACTAATGGTACAAGTACAACTAGCTTGAACTACAATACTTATTCTTCAAGCATCTTATAGCATCAACGGTCAGGGGTCAATTAAGTACATATGACGTGTGTAACACGCCAGCGTGGCTAAAATATTTTAGTATTTTATTAGTATTTCACATATATCACGTGAAGAATTTAGATATCATTAATGTAATTGGGTAAGATATGCTGACATCATTTAAGATTCATTTTAGAGTTGGACATCTGGTGGTCAGGAGAGGAAACTTCTTAAACTTCAGTCATCAGCTATGGACCACTTAGAAAATACATTGTCACCGCATCAACAGCTTTCAAGTGAGTTGTTCTGTTGGTGCTCAAGATCACATGCTTCCATTCATACAGTGTAGTAATTAAAGTATTTTCACTACAATATTTGAGTACAACTTAAAGTTTTTAGAGCATCATTTATTGTATCTTGCATGCGAGTATCATAGGCAAAAACTAAAAGTTGTTCATGAACAGGTCAAGCAATGGACATCGGACAAATGTCAGCTTATGGGGAACCAGGCGTGATACAACATAGCAGTTCTTTCAGCCATGTAACGTCTAACTTAAGCATGAATGGTAATCAGTAATGCGCCAGTCATGTAGGTTTAAATGTGATATTTGTAAGAAACAACGTGAATGATGTGATAATTTATTTAATAATTAAATGGCTTGTGTATTAATATTATCATGGGTAATAACATGAACATACGTATAGTAGTATGTATATGTATGTGTGTGTGTGTGCGTGCATGCATGTACTAATGCAGATAAGGTCTATGTCCCCCTGACCTCTGTTTGACCTGGCTCGTTTAGCTATTTATG